GAGCACAAAATTGTCTATCTTCAAAACAATTTTTTCTGAAGCTTGGCAAATTCATCTGTGTCAGATCAGCACTGAAGTTTTGCAAACTGCTACATCAATTCAGTGGTATGTCACTTGCCAAATTATTTTATTTAAAACAATCAGAGAAATGTCTTTAGTGGAGCACAGATATGCCAGTACATCAGCAACAACTCAGTAGAGTGAGTGCCTCTTGTCTTTCTTCTGAACAATTTTGTTATTGTACATGTCAAATTTAGTGCTATGTCAGATAAGCACTGAAGATTCACAAGCTGCTATATCTATTCAGTGCTATGTCACTTGCCAGTTTTTTTATTTTTTTTAAAAAAAGGTGGAGGAGAGGATGGTGTTAATGACAGAACAGTATCTTAATGACAGAGGAGAGTGAGAAATCTGTGATCCCACTGAAAATTGCAATAATTTGAGGTGTGGTGAGAATTCTTGCCCCCAAAATTGCTTAAGACAATTAAGCATTCTATGTGAACAACAACAATTTAATTGCCATAGGAAACTTTGAATTGAACCAAGTCCACTTGGGATGGCCTCCCTATCTAGTAGTACTATCAATAAAGCCAGGTTGGTATTGTTCAGGAAGACTGAAAAGGGAGTGTCACATTCTCCAAGATTCTCCACAAATCTTGAAACTGTCATGATCTCATGGCGTCACTCTGCCTATATTGCAATGTGTCTTAGTGAGCTTGTTGTGGTACCATCTCTATGCAAGCTCTTTTTTTTTTAACTGCTGTGTGAGGACAGGGTGGCTTCTGTCATCCACTGTAGCCTTCTAATGGATTTAGGAGAAACCTATTCACCTATTACTAGTATATACTTACTAGCAAATGTAATTGGCTATACTTGTCTTTGAAACCCTATGTGGCTTGGGATCAAAATGTCTGAAGGAATGCAGAGGGCTGGCCTGACTATAAAGTAGAAAGGGGCTCCTCTCTTATATGGGAGATGCTGTGGGGATGAGAAATTGTGGCAAAATGTTGGAGAACAGAGCTCTGTATGACATAAACCTACTAAGCTAGCCTTTGTGTGGGACACAGGATCTGTCCTGTGTCCATCACTGCCATTGAACTAATATTTTCTGTCTAATTGGCTTCTACACATTGACTGGGAGAGGCATCATGCGTCACCAGGGATGGCCTCCTGAATTGAGGTTCACACTAATCTGCCTGTACTTTACGCTAAAACATTTTGTTGCAGAGTCCCATTGATGGCATTTAAACTTCACAGGTGTCTACGCTCCTGAACATAATCCCATATTTCCATCCCTTACTCCATTTTAATGTTTCTGCCTCCTTTTTAAAAGCTTATCAGCAAATAATGTTCACATTATGTTGGCTTAGATTTTGGACAGCTTCCAGTTATTTGTGTGCTATCGATGCACTTTAAGAGGTGAGATGTTTCTAAATATAAAAGTGAGTAACAAAAGCTGAGTAATCATTTGGTATGTTCTTAAACCGCAGAGCAGTGCTGGTGATCGCAGAAAAATGAAAGGAAATACCTGCACTGGGCTGTTTGTATTCATTCTTTGACAAGCTACTACATTATTCTAAACACTTGTATCAGCACATTGCTATGCTGAGTAAAATCATGCATGTCCATGCAAAAAAATGTTTTACCCAAGGGATAATGACAGACTTTTTCCAAGATCCTCAGAAATCTGAGCTTAATCACCAATTCAGAAAGACTGCATACAGGTAGCTTTGAGCAAAATCAATTGAGCAAATCAGTCTCTCTTAACCTAAGTTAGGTAAAGGTTTCCCTTGACATTTAGTCCAGTTTCGTCCAATTCTAGGGGGCAGTGCTCATCCCCGTTTCCAAGCCCTAGAGCCAGCGTTTGTCCGTAGACAGTTTGTGTGGTCACGTGGCCAGTGCAACTAGACCTGAATGCTATTACCTTCCCACCGTGGTGGTACCTATTTACCTACTCACATTTTTACATGCTTTTGAACTGCTAGGCTGGCAGGAGCTGGGACAAGCGTCGGGAGCTCACTCCGTTGCGTGGATTTGATCTTACGACTGCTGGTCTTCCGACCTTGCAGCACAAAGGCTTCTGCGGTTTAACTCGCAGCACCACCATGTCCCCTAACCACGTAACCTAAGTTACCCATCTGTAAAACAGAAATAGCATTCACATAAAGAATATGTGAGACAAAACTTCTCAGGTATAAGCTTGTTATACGAATAGTTAATTGTTCTCATGTGCTATCATGTTGCCTCTGACTTACAGTGACCCCATAAATGAGTGACCTCCAAAATGTCCTATCATGACCTGCTCAGCTCTTGCAAAACCAAGGCTGTAGTTTTCTATTCTATTGTAAGAGGTTCAAATCAGAGCAGAATGTGCAGGTTCATGAGCATGATGAAGCAAACAGAATATTTTAAATGGATTCAGACCTGGCGAACAAATTGAATCATATTGAACTGGAACCCATTCTGAAGCTTTGCAGTGGCCTCAGGAGAGAATTGGGGGACCCATGCACAACATTAGTACAGTATATACCTTTTAAATACTTACTAATGAACTACTACGTACAGTTTTTAAAAATTAAAATATTTGTTGTTGTTCAGTCATTAAGTCATGTCCGACTCTTCGTGACCCCATGGACCAGAGCATGCCAGGTCCTCCTGTCTTCCACTGCCTCCTGGAGTTGGGTCAAATTCATGTTGATAGCTTTGATGACACTGTCCAACCATCTCATCCTCTTTCATCCCCTTCTCCTCTTGCCTTCACTCTTTCCCAACATCAGGGTCTTTTCCAGGGAGTCTTCTCCCCTCATGAGATGCCCAAAGTATTGGAGCCTCAGCTTCAGGATCTGTCCTTCCAGTGAGCACTCAGGGTTGATTTCCTTCAAATTGGATAGGTTTGTTCTCTTTGCAGACCAGGGGACTCTCAAGAGTCTCCTCCAGCACCACAATTACAAAGCATCAGCCTTCTTTATGGTCCATGCATTGCTACTGGAAAACCATAGGTTTGACTATGCGGACCTTTGTTGGCAAGGTGATGTCTTTGCTTTTTAAGATGCTGTTGAGGTTTGTCATCACTTTCCTCCCAAGAAGCAGGTGTCTTTTAATTTTGTGGCTGCTGTCACCCTCTGCAGTGATCATAGAGCCCCAGAAAGTAAAATCTGTCACTGCCTCCGTATCTTCCCCTTCTATTTGCAAGGAGATGGTGAGACCAGTGGCCATGATCTTAGTTTTTTTTTATGTTGAGCTTCAGACCATTTTTTGCGCTTTCCTCTTTCACCCTCATTAAGAGGTTCTTTAATTCCTCCTCTCTTTCTGCCATCCAAATGGTATCATCTGCATATCTGAGGTTGTTTATATTTCTTCCGGCATTCTTAATTCTGGCTTGAGATTCTACCAGTCCTGCCTTTCGCATGATGTATTCTGCATATAAGTTAAATAAGCAGGGAGACAATATACAGCCTTGTTGTACTCCTTTCCCAATTTGGAACCAATCAGTTGAAAATATTCTTTAACTTAGAGTAATTGAGCAGTTGGCAATTGATGGGTCTCCAGATGTTGTTAGACTGTGACTCCTACCATCTGCTGGATAGCTCAGTGGTTTGGGCATCTAGCTGAGGAGCCAGAGGTTGGGAACTAAACTCCACACTGCACCTCCTTGACAGGAGCTGGACTCAATGATCCACAGAGTCCTTTCCAGCGCTGCAGTTTATGATGATGATGATCACTGCTGGTGACCATGGATAGAGATGATTTGACAACATCTGGAGGGCCAGAAATGGTCCATCCTGGCTTAATTACTCCTTCACTCACAGTCAAATTCTGTTTATATAGGAGGTATTGAGTCTAATCTATTACTATGAGGTTGTAATAGATATACAGTATTACAAAAATCAATAGAAAAAAATATTGCAAAAGCTAGATCATAGGAGAGGGTCTGGTCTGGGATAGTATTTTGATTGCAGAGCTCTTTCCCGAAGGTTAAGATTGGTTAGTTTTAGGCAGGGCACTTCTGGTTTTTATGTATTTCCTGTAACTTTATATTTATATTTATTATATTATTCCAAACTTTGAAAAAATTACTTTCTTGGACTACAACTCCAAGAATCCTACAGCCAGCAAAGCCACAGCCTCTGGAAAGTTCAGGGAGTTGTAATCCAAAGAAGTAACTTTTCTAAGCTCTGTGCTACTCTCTCTCTCTCTCTCTCTCATGCTTTAAAATGCTGCTTTGTTAGCATCATGCCCTGCCTTTAAACTGGTCTAAATCTCTACCTTGTAAGTGATCCTGGAGTCCCCTTCCACTTGATAGGAATAATCAGAACTGTATATAAAGAAAAATTTCAGGGTGATTTTATAAGAATGTTGCAAACAAACATATCTATCTGCATATATATATCTATATATCTATCTGCATATCTATCTGCATTATATATATATAATGAGTTTTCTTCTTCCTACCACCTTGCACATCTCCCCCTTTGTCTTCATAAAATCGAAGAGCGAGAGGTGTCCCAGCTTAAGCATTTGACAACGCAGTCTTGCAGGCTCTAATTTAAAGGGGGAAAGTAGAGTTGGTGGGGGTGCCTTAATAAAATTTAGAACACCACTGCATTCCTTTAGTTTCAATCTGACTCTGTCCCCAATAAGCCTTTTAAGAAAGAAAGAAAGAAAGAAAGAAAGAAAGAAAGAAAGAAAGAAAGAAAGAAAGAAAGAAAGAAAGAAAGAAAGAAACGGGGAAGCTCCTTGTCATAATGACGGAGAAGCAAAGGATCTCGGGCCCCACTCCAAGGTAAACTCCAGCTTAGCCTCAGCGAAGTTGCCTCTTCACGCGCCTTGCGGCGGTACCTCGCGGAACGCTTGCTGCGCCTAAATAACTCCGGACCAACTAGCTCTGAACGAAGCTGCGATTTGCACGGCGTGGCGGGCGGGGGGGGCGGACAACCTACGTGCTGGCCAAGCCCCTCCCTCGCGTGGCTAAAAGCGCGCGCGGGGGGGGGCACGAGACCTGTGTTTTGTTTGCTCCTGCCTTCTGCCCGCACAGCTGGGAGGGGAGTCGCCTGCGCTTGCTTGCTTGCGTCGGCTCTCTCTCGCTCTCTCTCTCTCTTGCTCGTTCGCTCCTCACGGTTGAGGAAAGCGAGCAGCGAGGCAGCGATTTTCATGGCTGGGGCTGAACTGCGAGGCCGAACTTGAGGGAACGAACGCCACCACCGCTGGCGGCGGCCACGAAGCATCGGCTGTAGCGGCCCCTGAGGAGGAGGAGGAGGAGGCGGTCGCGGGGCTCGCCCGGCCCTTCCTTCCCTTCCCTTCCCTCCCCGCGTATGAGTCAGGTATTTCCCAGCCTGCTGGCAGCGGCCACGCTGGGTGACGGAGGCCGAAGCTGCTGCCTCACGTTCTCCCTCCGAGCTCCATGGAAAAGGCAGCGGCCGCGACGCAAGGCGGCAGCGGCACCACCACCACCACCGGCAGCAGCAGCGGGGACGCCGTGGGGTCCTCCGCGTCGGGAAACAGCAGCGGCGGGGGCAGCAACAGCAGCAGCCGGAGCAGCAGCCGCCCCACGTCGGCGGGCTCCTCTCCTTGCTCCTCCGCCAGTCGAGGGCCGGGAGCAGCGGCGGTTGCAGCTGCAGCGGGGAGGCCGGATGGCGGTGGCGGGAGCAGCAGCCCCAGTTCCGCGGCCCCCAGTCCCGGAGGAAGCGGCGGCACAGGAGGACTGCTGGCCGACAGAAGGACGGAGCCGGTGCTGGAGGGCACCCTGAGCAAATACACCAACCTTCTCCAAGGCTGGCAGAGCAGGTAATGGCGTGGACAAGGCGCTTTTGCAATGTTGGCGCCTCTGTGGGATCGGAGCAAGGGACTTGGACGACGCCTCCCGCTAACCAAGGCGCCGGGGAAGGGTGGCTAGGACTTGCGAGTACTGTAGTCCCCCCCCCGCAAAGGTTGTGGGACCCCCCCTTCTGCAACCGCGCCCACATTCCCGCCCCATTGGCTCCGCCTCTCCTCTCTCCCAACTCTCTTCCCGCCCGCCCTTCTTTCGGACAGGGCGTGGGACTCTCGGGCCAGCATCTTCTTCCTTCCCTGCCCTCTAGGTACAGAGTCGAGCTGTGGAAGTTTCTTTTTGGGATCAGACCAGTGGGAGACTCTCAAAGACCCCCCCCCTCTTCACTTCACATTAGGGTCTATCTCACCGGAGTGGCTTCTTTGGTAACATCCCAAAGGATGCACTGTGCTATGGTAAAATGTATTACTAACCTTGAGGGTGCCACAAAACTCCTTGTTGGATTTATGCCTGCCATTTAATTGAAATGGAATCTCCCTCATTTTATCCCATGCAGTTTTTCTTTTTAACCACTATTTTTAGCATGCATTCTATTTATGTATGTATGTATTTATTATTCTCCCTCATTTTATCCCATGCAGTTTTTCTTTTTAACCACTATTTTTAGCATGCATTCTATTTATGTATTTATTTATTAATTAATGCGTAAATCCCAAATTGCCTCCAGAACACTTAGTATAGCTTGGATGGTTTTCTTTTCTCTCCTCCTCATGTTTATCCCTGTAAGAACTCTATGAAAGTATTTCAGAAGGGGAACCGTGCCGGTCAGTTGTCTATTGCAGGAAAAACAAGTCATGCCTTATTCCGCACAAGCTTTTGTTGATTGTAGTCCACATATTTTATAGATTTAAAGAAGTGAACTATGGACCAAAAAGCTTATGTAAATTAATAATAACATGCTGTCAAGTCAATCCTGACTTACGGTGATCCTTTCCAGGGTGTTCTGGATATGGGAACCGTGCCGGTCAGTTGTCTATTGCAGGAAAAACAAGTCATGCCTTATTCCGCACAAGCTTTTGTTGATTGTAGTCCACATATTTTATAGATTTAAAGAAGTGAACTATGGACCAAAAAGCTTATGTAAATTAATAATAACATGCTGTCAAGTCAATCCTGACTTATGGTGATCCTTTCCAGGGTGTTCTGGATACAGAATACTCAGAGGTGGCGTACCAGTCCTTTCTTCTGGGGGCATCCTGGGACAGTGCAGCTTGGCCAAAACTATGCAGGCTGGCTCTTCTTCTGGGAAGCACAGTGGAGAATCAAGCTCACAATTTCTAGCGCTCCTAATGCAGATGGTACTTGTTGGTTTAGAATTTTCATTTTGCTCTGCCCATGGAGCTCTCATGTGATCTCTGTAGTACCCGTGGAGAATATGAAAGGTGCCCATTTAATCAAATAGGCTTTTCAGTTCCATAAGAATATGGAGAGATATCATATATCCCTCCTTATGTAAGCTGCATAACTTATGAACTGCTTTTGCAAAACACTGTTGTATGAGTGGAACAAATGAACAGGATAGTAGTCTTGGTCTTAATGCAACCACAAGATTCTTTTTCTCTCCATGTGAAATAAGTCAACCTGAGAGAGGGAGAGAGAGTTACCTAGTAAGGTCATCTAGTGAGTTTGTGGGGAACCTCTGAAACCCATTACTGGACTTGTTCACTTGATAGGCTAGCAGTAGCCATATTTTCCGAGCTTGTAAGATTACTCTTTTTTGATCATTTAGCTGTATGCATACATGCACTCTGCTTTCTAAGGCTTAATTGTTGCAGTAATGCTTTTCAACAAAGGCTGTGTTGGTTGCCACGTGTGAGTTTTTCTTTGTCATCTCCTGTGTCAAAAAGTGTGAGTTTTTCATATACTCTGAAATACTTTAGTTGATTCAGACATGCTGCTGAAACTGTAAAAGTAGTCTGTTTTCCCCCATTGCTTATTTTGATCACTTTCTCATGTTCATATTTTGGGATGTTTTTAAAGTTTGGAGTAGAAGTGCAAACTCCACACATAGGCAGAAACTGTACTAGAACCAAAGAAAAGTGACAGAAAATATTGAGCAGATTTCACTGTTGCTGAGAACTCTTAATAAAGCGGTGTGTTTGGTATTGTTGAGGTAGAGGATGAAGAGTGTTGGAGAACATAACATCTGACTCGTTAGTTTTAACATTTTGCTTGCTCCTAATAAAAAGATTATCTTTGGATTTTGGAGTTGTTTCTTATGGTTCACAATAGCATTTTTTTGCTCATTACACTTGGTGGACAAAAAAGTGGGCCCCAGTTACAGGTGGAATGTATGATGAAGTGATGATGAAATGTCAAACTTAAAGCTGAGTTAACCCAAACTGTTGTGATCCCCCCCCCTTCCCTTGTGGTAAGGAGGCATAAGATTAGTTTGCTGCTCTTTTCATGACAGACGAATTAGGTATGGAGAAAAATATAGAGTGTGTTCTGTGTGATCAGTTTGAGAGAGTAGCTACCTGGGCATTTTGCCTGCTATGGAGGTGAGCTGGTTCACTCCATTTGCTGGTGATCAGACAAAGTAATTGCTAGAGTGAGCCCACGTGCTCCCAGAATGTTCCTACCCACATCTTTCTGAGTCCCTGTCGAGGTAGGATCATTCAATTTTGATTCATTTCCAAGACATGTGATTTCTAGGAAAGAACCAAAGCAAAGCTTCCTGCTTTTAATTTACCAGCTGGTTTCTTTTCCCCAATATAATTAGTGGCTTAAACAGATAGTTTAACCACTTAAGGACACTGGGAAATTGGGAAATTAAAAACGTATTTCCTTCCTATGCTGACAGAGGAGCAGAGGGAGGAAGCAAAGCCCCATTATAGCAGTGCTGATGTGCACTATTATTGGACACAAATGTTGGTTTCTATGTTGTGAGATATTGTTGCCATTTCAGAAGATGTTATTGAGTAATAGATTCTATGTAGGGGATTGTGTTGTAAGACAAGTGGCAGCTGTTTTGCTCAATTGTTACTGCAAACACTAAATTTGTAGAAGAAACTTAAGAAACATTTGAATATCTTATTGCTTTTTTTGGTATCTTTACATAGACATAAATTTTGCAGAATTCATTGGAACTTACTCCCAGCATGCAGCACACACAGAATTGCTGCCTTATACATTTTTTTTCTCAGCCACTCCCTTCCTCTGAATATATATTGTTGATTTAGAGACTGGAATATTACTTTTAAGAAGAATGAATATAATGACATGCGGAAGTAATGTGCAACTAAAGTAACCAAGAGCATAATCCTACTATTGGTCAGTTGTTATTATGTGCTGTCAGGTCACCTCCAACTCAGGGCGACCCTATGAATGAGTGATCTCCAAAATGTCCTGTCCTTAGTCTCCCTGCTCAGTTCTTGCAGACTCAAGCCTGTGGTCTTTTTTTAGGGAGTAAGTCCCTCTCATATTTGGTCTTCCTCTTTCCTTCCACCCAGCATTTTGCCTTTTCCAGAAAATCCTGTATTTTCATGTGCCTAAAATAGGACAGACTATTTCAATATAATTGTTTACTTTGCACAGTATCCAATACATGAGCAATCTGCTCTCTGCGAATTCATAATAGTTCTAGAGTGGATGTAGCAACCATGATCTGTGGGTAGATGTAATGCTGACACATTTTTTTATTTCTAAAGTTGTTTTCCTAAGATAATCTGATTAAAAAAACTCACCTTACAAGTGCTTTTTAAATACAGTGGGGTCTCGACTTACGAACGACCCTACTTGCGAACAATTCAACTTACGAACCCACCCTATAGGGGAAATAAGGACTCGACATACGAACTTCCCTCGAGTTACGAACAGGAAAAAAAGTGCCCCTCCCTCCCCTTAGAGGCTTCTGGAGGGGGAAAAAGTGCCAGAAACGTAAAAATAAATAAAAGAAAGTCACTTACCAGGCCTTGGTAGCCCCCAAACATCAGGAAAAAGAGCAGGAAACAGCTAAAAGCCCACACCAGAAGGGAGCCTGACAGCCATTTTGGGCTTCCCCCCCTCCTGCACCCTCCTCTCCCCACCTATCAGCTGATCGGCCTGCTCTGAAGAGGCTTCCGGAGGCTTGCTCAGCACCTAAAAAGCCTGCCTGTGTGTCTTTGTGCTGAATGTCTTGATTTAAAATAACATGATTTAAAATTGGTTTCGTTGAAAAAAAGATTTCTAAAGTGCTTTGCAAACTGTTCCCTGCCTTCCTCCTTGTTTCTTGAACCTAAGGGGGAAAAAAAGAAAAAAATATCTCCCTCTAGTGGCAGAAGGCAGAATAGCAGCTTCCCATTAGTTTCTATGGACGGAAAAGAGCAGATACAGATTAAATGGTTTTCAATGCATTCCTATGGGAAATGCAGATTCGACCTACAAACCTTTCGACCTAAGAACCACCTTCCAATACGGATTAAGTTCGTAAGTCAAGACCCCACTGTACATCAGTTTGAATAACGACTCAAAATGTATGGCAATATTTACTTGACTGAGTACATCCTGTTATACCCTTGGCCAGCAACCAGTTTTACTGGAGGTGTGCTTTTTTGAAATTGAGGCAGAGGGAGGAGGAGGTCAACAGGCCCAAGGTGTAACATGGTAGCCAGAATGTCCTGTTGATCTCATTTCTACCATATCTCCTTTAGAGTCCTGGAGTGTCAATGTAGAGGAAGGGAGGCAACTATACTGAAGGGACTGAATTTCACTCCAGAGATACCAGTTGTTCCTTCTCTAGTTCTGTACTTTCTTGGGTTGTTTAGAATTTAGTGCTGTCTGTTTATTTATTTTAGCAATTGTTTTCTAAATGCTGCTAATGCTTGTCAAAGAGAGGCATGCCACAGACCCTGTGCTCTGATCTTAAAGGTACAGCAATTACCAAAATAGTGAGGTGAAGTCAATAACATTCAAGGCAAATGTGTTTGTGTTTCTTCTCTTTGCAGTATTGTTTTGGACACAGTGATATTAATGTGCA